AAATAATCGATTATCATCTGATTTTGTTTTGATTATTACTGCTTGAATTATTGATTAAAGGTGTATGATTAAAATCGATTTTTAACCGATTTTTTGATTATTAAAATTGATTTTTTCACATCTTTTTTTTTACATGGGGTTTACTCGCAAGCGAATTCGGTTATGGCAATTTTGTCGAGAAAATACACTCTATAGTATTTTTTTTAAATAAATAAATGAATCTATCGAATTATTGTCGTGCTTAAAAAATCCAATCCATCTCTTGAATTTCAACTACTTTGCTGAGAAAATTCTAGCAATGATGTTTTTAATGTGTTCTTCAGTTTTCAGACCAGATACAAAATTCGAATATTGCAGTAAAAGGTTTCAAAAAAATATTGATATATGAAGCATATGCATAGCTGATACGTTTATGTTAGGTTTTTATTGCCGAACGCATTGTAATCTTCCATAAACATACCAAAATACATATATGTACCTCATATTTTGATCATTTACAAAATTTATATAGCAGTCGTCCAATGTTTTATGCCTTTAAGGACTTTTCAAGCTATCTTCGAATGAATCAGTTAATTAAAATAAAAATTGAAAATCTTTTGCATAAAGTGGTATGCACCGATGGCTTCCCTCAAACTCCGTACATTACACAAATTGGTGGTAGAATGACCCAATATTTAAAAAACATGCCCAATAGTTCCTTTTATCAGACAGTGATCATAAAATGTCAATTATTTCATCAATCTCGTATATGATAAATTTGTTTTCCGTAGGGCACCGGCGGACTCGCTGACTTCATAGCTGGTATTCCTGAATGCTCAGGCACAGTTGGTACTAAAATTAAAATCGATCTGGAAGAACGGAAAGAACCCTACGAGTTCAATGTTGAGATGTACGCAAACAAATTGCTACGAAAGTTCGATCCAAAATATAGTATGTATCGATATGGTCTAACGGCAAAAAGAGTGAAAAAAGATGGTGAAAGAATATATTCCCCCAAAAAAAGTCGAAAATGTTCCGAATATCATTAAGTGACAACGTTAAGAGTGGGGCGCAGAATGTGAGGGTAACTGTGAAGCGAAGTTTGGTATCCACGACAAGAAACATATAGTCTGGATATTAGTGTTATTCTTGAATATGTCTCATACATTATTATTACTTGTTGGTATACTTATACGTCTCACACTTTTTTCTACCATAAAATATCTTCGTTTCATCGGTTGAGAATCTTAAAATAAACTTTTTTTCGCCATTTTTGTCACTTTTTGCCGCCTTTTTCGCTATTCTTTATTTCTATATATTGTCTTACGTCCAAATTTGTGTAACTAAAGAAGATGGCAAAAGTGAAAGTGATGGAATTGGGAAACATAGTGACGAAGACGCAAAAAATGGTGATCGAGACGCAAAGGATAGCGACAAAGACGGAAAGGATAGTGACAAAAACGCAAAGGATGGTGAAGACAGCGCAAAGACTAGCGAGGACGATACAAAGGATGGTAAAGATGGCGCCAAGGATAGCAAGGACAATGTAAAGAATAGTAACGATGACACAAACAATCTTATTGACGACATTAAGCTATGGATAGCGGAGCTAATCATACATAATGAACTCATTGTCGTATTTGATCCCAAGGAAGCCAACGGCAACCTGGAAGATGCGATTGCTGATGCCATGTTAAAGAGAATATATCTTCTCCCAAAAAAGAAAGACAATTCCAATTTTGACTGGCTACAAATGGAATTGAAATGGTGCCTGGTAAGATGGTTCTTTTTACTTCTAATGGGAAAATAATGCTTCATATCTTACTGGAATCTTTTTAGATGTGGAACAAAGTTGATCATGCAAGAGAGAATGTGTTCGCTGATCATGTATTTAAAAATATGACATCTTCACAAACAAGGCAAGAGTTTGTGAGTACACTTTGTAATTTGACGAAATCTTTTCCAATCAACTTGTATAAATGGACAGGACTAGGATGACTTTCACAAAATTGATCAAAATTTCGATGGATCTTTAAAAAATTGCATCTTCAGAATATATTTCTATGAGTCAAACTGAACCGTGCTATTTAGAGAAAAATGGGAAATTACTAGGGATGCAACAGTGACGATAACCGTAGGTACGGTTATCGGTCACACTACGGTAACCGTACCTACGGTTACCGGTCACACTACGGTAACCGTACCTACGGTTACCGGTCCAACTACGGTAACCGCAGGTACGGTTACCGGTCGAAGTACGATAACCGTAGGTGGTTATCGGTTCAAACTCGTTGTCAACCGATAACCATAGGTAGTTATCGGTTCAAACCCGTTGTCAATAAAAACAGTATTTTTTAAGAAAATAACGATATTTTATAAAGGTTCACGAAAGTAAATCGGGGTCGAGGAATCTGAATCTGAAGTCATTTATTGAAAATTTCGAATTGAATTTTTTCGACAAAGGAAAGGGTTTTTTAGAAAAATAATGATATCTTATAAAGGTTGACGAAAGTAAATCGAGGTCGAGCAACCCGAATCTGAAGTCAGTTCTTGAAAATTTCGAATTAAAGTTTTTCGACAAAGGATAGGTTTTTTTAGAAAAATAATGATATTTTATAAAGGTTGACGAAAGCAAATCGGGGTCGAGGAATCTGAATCTGAAGTCAGTTTTTGAAAATTTTGAATTGAATTTTTTCGACAAAGGAAAGGGTTTTTTAGAAAAATAATGATATTTTATAAAGGTTGACGAAAGTAAATCGGGGTCGAGGAATCTGAATCTGAAGTCAGTTTTTGAAAATTTCGAATTAAATTTTTTCGACACAGGAAAGGGTTTTTTAGACCCCCCCCCCCCCTCAAAAATCGATCTCAGTCCAGGAACGTTCAAATAGGCTGAAATTTTTAGCATATGTCGGGGCTGAAATGGGGAGGCTGTGGTAAAATTTTCAGCTCGATACACTTACAATTAACAGAGATATGAACCAAACAAGGGTCAAAAACAGCTCATTTTTCTGTCCAAGATTTCTCGGTCCGGGCTTGGTAAATATATTTAAATTTTTTTTTGTTTGAAAGAGCATCTCAGGATGCAGGGCACCACAGAGTCCTTTTTTTTAAATTCATACTTTTTAGCAGAAAAAGGAGATCACAAGTTCAATGACTCAAAAAATGCGCCAAAAAAGGATGTCTATGTCGGTAAATATAATAAAAAACAATGCTTAATCAAAAAAAGGACTCTGTGGTGCCCTGCATCTCGACGTGCTCTTTCAAACAAAAAAAAAATTTAAATATATTTGCCTAGCTCGGACCAAGAAATCTTGGACAAAAGGTCAAAAAATCATAAATCGAGAAAAAACGAAAAAGATTTTTTGATTTTTCAAAAAACCGCTGGCTTTTCAAATAGGAATTGTCAGGAATCTCGAAAATTTTTTGGAAAAAATTATATATCGAAGAGAAGCTTTTATCGTTTCTGAAAGAGCAAATGACGGGCTATTTTCCCATGTATTTATCTCAATTTTGACCATTCTAGCGAAAACTGACTTTTTTTGAGGGGGGGGGGGCTTTAGAAAAATAATGGTACTTTATAAAGGTTGACGAAAAGTAAGTCAAGGTCGAAGAATCCGAGTCTGAAATCAGATCCTTGAACTTTTCAATTTTCTCTTCCCAAGACTAAACCGCTCCTTGAAAGTCGCCTTTTTTTCTAGAAAACTTTATCTCTCAAAAACATCATATGTGAAGAACTAAAACTCAAAATTTTCAAAAGCCGACTTCAAATTCGGATTCTTCGACCTCGATTTACTTTTGTCAACCTTTATAAAATATCATTATTTCCCTAAAAAACTCTTTCCTTTGTCGAAAAACTTTAATTCGAAATTTTCAAAAACTGACTTCAGATTCGGATTGCTCGACCTCGATTTACTTTCGTCAACCTTTATAAAATATCACTATTTTTCTAAAAAACCCTTTCCTTTGTCGAAAAAATTCAATTCGAAATTTTCAAAAACTGACTTCAGATTCAGATTCCTCGACCCCGATTTACTTTCCCCAATCTTTATAAAATATCATTATTTTTCTAAAAAAACCTATCCTTTGTCGAAAAACTTTAATTCGAAATTTTCAAAAACTGACTTCAGATTCGGATTGCTCGACCTCGATTTACTTTCGCCAACCTTTATAACATATCATTATTTTTCTAAAAAACCCTTTCCTTTGTCGAAAAACTTTAATTCGAAATTTTCAAAAACTACCTTCAGATTCAGATGCCTCGACCCCGATTTACTTTCGTGAACCTTTATAAAATATCGTTATTTTCTTTAAAAATGCTGTTTTTGTTGACAACGGGTTTGAACCGATAACTACCTACGGTTATCGTACTTCGACCGGTAACCGTACCTACGGTTACCGTAGTTGGACCGATAACCGTACCTGCGGTTACCGTAGTTGGACCGGTAACCGTAGGTACGGTTACCGTAGTGTGACCGGTAACCGTAGGTACGGTTACCGTAGTGGGACCGGTAACCGTACCACGGTTAACCGATGAATGATCGTCACCGTTGCATCCCTAGAAATTACTTCTATTTTGCCATGATTAACTGAATTTTATCAGAAAAGAAATTTCAAAATGCAGTGAAACCTCTCTAAAGCTGACACTCTTGGTACGTTTGAAAAGTTTTTTTTATTTGGAGATGTCGATTATATCGATATTAGACGCTTGGAAACATAATGTTGTATTGAAAGAGAGCACATGTTTTCAATTATCTGGATATGCCTGTGATTGAGAGAAAAAATCTGAGCGTATTATTATCTATTCTGATACATCCTTGCGTTTTGTAACGTAGAAAGAACGATTAGCCATTAAACAACACTCGACAGTAGTATTTTTCATACATCGAAGTTAACCAAATGACAGAGAGTTCTCATTCGAGTTTGTCTTTGAAAACATTTATTCAGCAGGCTATGGAATAATGCCAAAAATATGAGCCATTTTTATCATATCTGATTCTATAGATAATTCTAAATACTCTTTCAAATTGCTAGATACTTCCCACTATTGAGAAGTTTTTATGTGAATCAGTTCGTGAAAATGTTTCCACTATTCACCATGAGAGATTTTTACTCTATTTAACACAAAGAGTTTCTTCTTTCTGTCACTGGCATCTCTGATCGATACAAAAAAGATAAACATCCTGTATGATGTTTGATCATACTTATCATGAAGCTCTCTTGAAATTCTCTAGTACTATCCATCGTAGACATGTATCCACTCCAGCATGACCACGAAAAAGTATCGAACTTTTGAAAGTTTTCACTGTGGAGAGGTTGAATTCTATTAGAAATTGCTTTGTCAGACCGTGAAGCACCCCCTATGGAAAGTTTAACTGTACGTCACCGAATATGAAGCAAATTGAACTCGTCGTATACTTCTATATCAAATTGATATGTGTAATTGATGAACTCCGATGCAAGCAAATGTTACAAACTATCACAGGTTGCTTTTGAGAAATTGAGATATTCATAATTAAAAGTCGGTTTTGAAGAATTATTGAGTGCTACTATTTACAATTTAATAATTTTCAAAGCGAAGTCCTATACATTTACTCGTCTTTAACCTTCAACTCTATTGTCTACTACGATTTTTTTGTTAGATAAAAAGAGTAGCACGGACAGCACTCTTTGAATCCTTATGTCGAAATAATACGGATTTCGTATATTTGCTGATGGAAAATGGTGTATCAATAAAAGATCTTAATATAGAACAATTAACACCGGAAGAACTCAAGATGTTTTGTGCAAGAATATTGGTAGGTTAATCTTAACATATGACTCCATTGTGCTTTGTAGCAATTTTCAGATTTCAAAAAAAAAAATTTTTTTCGAAAATTTCTCTAATAGAAAAGTAACTTCAGAAATTCTCAAACTTAGAAAATTCACTCACAAATAGGTGAAATTTCAAAAAAGATAATCAAAATTTTAGTATCACACAAGCGATTTCCAGAATCTCCGTGATTCATATGCTTAGGACAATCTAACAGGAGTGGCAGCATTGTTTTATTTCCGCATAGAGAGATTGAAGAAATTTTCTTTTTTTTATGTAGTGGTAGAGAAAATAGTGTTCTATTTCTCTGCGCTATTAAATCATTTTTCAATTAATATCATAGTAATAAAATTTCGATAGGGCCTGTTTTTTTATTATACGTGACGGTTATACAAATGTTTATTTAGTGGATATTTTTTGACTAACTTTTGATAAAAACAAGATAGAGAGCTGCAGTTTTCATCGCTCGAAAGAGGAAATGAAAATGCTTGAATCGTATATGATCGGTGTTCGGACATGACTTTTTTAAAGGCTTTTAATCGGTCTCTTTGAAAACAAACCTATTCTATAGGGTGTTTACAGCAAATTCTCAATTGTCAGGTGCGTATTCAAACTAGCAGTGGAGGATCTACAAAACTACACAAGGTTCAATTGTTTTGAATTAGTCATTCAGAAGTTATATATATTCTAGGAGAAGCTGTAAGTAATTTTCTGACTATTTCTGTAAAACAAAATCCTTTTTGCTAAGAAATCATTTTTCCTCACTTAGGAAAGTGATTACACAAACTTCAGACAACATACTAGAGCAACATATAATATACAATTCGATGCATCTTCATTCTCTCTTTCGAACGATGAAAACTGCAGCTCTCTATCTTGTTTTGATCAAAAAATATCCGCTTAATAGATATTAGTACAACCGGCACATATGACAGACCAGGCTTCGTAGTTCCTATATTTTCTATATAAAGGAAATAGCTGGATATCGTTCTATATCTGAAGTCAAGATCCAATTTTTTTATATTTAGTAATGAGTGCTATGTAACACTAGAATATGGAAAAATACAATCTATAGTTCAAATATAAAACAATATAGAGCTATTTCCTATATATAGGAAATATAGGAACTACGAAGCCTGTGACAGACAAACAGGACCTATCGAAATTTTATTATTATGATATTACTTGAAGAATGATGTAATAGCACAGAGAAATAGAACGTCATTTTCTGTATCACTACATTAAGAAAGAAAATTTCTTCAAGCTCTCTATACGGAAATAAAATAATGCTGACACTCCTTTTTGATTACCCTAAGAAAATATATGTATCCATCTATGACAATGATGTGAATGAAGATTGATAAAAGAAGAAAGGGTATCTGAGTTTGGTCATGATTTTCGAAATTCGTTTCAGTTGCGTAAATACGAATGTTGTTTGATAACTATTTAAATGGCTTGAATTTAACTGTTCAATATTTTATTATGAATGTTCAGTAAATCTTTTATCACATGTTCAGTAGTTCTTGTTCAGTAAATCTTTTATCACATGTTCAGTAGTTCTTGTTCAGTAAAAAATTATTATTGGTTCAGTAAATAATTCAAGAAGTTCAGTAAACAATTCAAAAAGTCCAGTAATTAATTTAAAAAGATCCAGTAGTTCATTTTTTTTGTTCAGTATTTAATTCATTTTTGTTCGGTTTTTTAATAATTTATTTCAGTAAAAAAAGTATAATTTCAATTAACAGAAATTTATTGAATCAATAACGCCTTTTTGGATTTTATTGGCCTATCACGACGTCTTTTTTCACCCATTTTAACATTTTTAGCAGCAGGTGGTGGTTTGCAGTAGTTTAATCGGAATGCCATACCAACAACATGTTTACAAATAAACTTTTTGAAAAATGCTGGACAATTGCACACACCATCTAACCATTTTAATTTATCTACTAGTATAAAGCGAAGGAAAGGGCAGGAAAGTAGAAAAAATATTTTGCCTGATGATGTCATCATCAGCCAACGTGGACCCATTCTTCTATTTACATCAAAATATTTTCATCGAAAAAATAAAAGTGACTACTGATAAAAATACTACTTGTTACTGAGTAAATGAATTTTTGAATCAGCAAACTGAATTAATTACTGAAACTTCAATTTTAATACGGAGCAATTTATTAATTTACTGAGCAAACAATTAGTTAACTGAACAAACGTAATAGTTACTCAACATTGAATTTTATACTGATAGTTTGATTTCTTTACTGAAAATTCGTATACAATACTGAACAAATTTTACTGAACATTTACAAAAAAATACTGAACATTTAATTTGTTCCCTATTTAAATTAACTTGTGATGAAAAGTAATTTATTGTAATTACTTTATATTCTGTTTATAGTTGCTGAAATTTCTTTGATGATTTCTCAATTAATATTTTTATTTTAATGAATTTCGCAAACTTACTGTTGAGTGACATCAAATTTCTGGAATTGTTGGAATTTACTGTGTAATTATCGGTAATCTTCAAAATTAATATAAATACTAGATAGCAAAATTTAAAAAATTACAGTATAGACAAAAAGAATGGAATTTTCGAAATTGTTTTTTGCTGAAGGGTGATTTCTGAAATTGCTGTTATTCCTTTTATTGCCATTTTATTTGTAAAAGCGAAAATTTGTCAAATTTCAGAATTAGATTTTTTCTGGAAATCTGCACATACTTCCCTTTCTTGTCGTTGAATGTGTGCTAATTTTTATTAAGAATAACGATGCCTTACCTCTCGATGAGACTAAACTCCCTAGTATTGGTATTAATATGAAGTCTTCGGAATTTGTGGAAGCAATATACTTGGTCTATTACAAGCAATATGTAGAAGACTACGTAAGCATTTAATACCAGTGAATATTTACACATTCCATTGATCGAGTCGGTACTTCAGATTACGGCACAAGAAAAACGAGATAACCACGGATTAATCATATCCTTGTCTGATCGGAAATGCAGTGAAACGATGAATCTATTCGACAAAAACAAGATTGAAAAACCTTATCTGTGGTTTTTATTCATGAATCGACCAGAAATGGCCAAGTTTCTTTGCTCTATATGTCAGGTAAGACATACACTATGTTCACTTTCAATTTATTATCGCATTGAATTCACTTTCAATGTATACCGTATGTTCGCCATCAGAATCAGACAGCTGCCTGTCTTCTCGCAGTCAATATTTATCTCAAGGCAGCGCAGGAGGATAGGATAAATAAAGATACTTTGACACAAGTTGCAAAGTGAGTAAATTGCATTTGAATTTATTTGGCACGTCGTGTTGGATGCGTGTTTAATTTACTTATTGATGAAAACAGCGAGTTCGATCAACATTCGAAAGACATCATCGATGAATGTTTCGCAACAGACAATGACCTTGCTATCAATATAATGAAAGGCAAAGCCACGGCATTCTACAATTGTATTCCGTTGGAAATAGCATGCCATAATAATTGTAAAGCTTTTATCACCAGTGCTACTGCCGAAGCAAGTCATAGGAGAATGTGGTACCATCGATTCGACGATAAACGCCAACCATTGAAAATGGATTTCTCTATTTGGGTTTGTCAATGATATTTATAGAATAGTATTATAATCCATTCGAAACCTATTTAGGTCTGTCTTGCATCATGGTTTTTGCCTCTCTTACCAATTGCAGCTGTGCTTTTCCCTTCTCTCTACAGAGAAGATTCTGAAAAGTCGAAAGTATTATAGATAAAAAGAAACAACGCTTTGTTAATCATTGTTGTATATTCTATCCTCATATAGGAAACCAATAAGCCAAATCGATATCGTCCGATGTTGTCACGTCGGCTGACGTTAGTTTAAATTTTTTCTCAAGTTTTGATTTTTAATTTCAACGCAGTTTTTATAGGTCGACGAACTGTATGACTTCAGACAGGCCCTCTTCAAACAAGATGGACAGGAATCCTTTTAAGAGTTGCAAAATGAAATTACGTGCCGTAAGCCTTAGAATTAAATATTTTTACGAAGCACCAGTAGTAAAATTTTACTATCACGCTGTAAGTGTTTTTTCCTCTGTTACTCTGTTCTAACTTTTTACACATTGTTATTAAATTCCATATTTAGATTTCCTTCTGGGCATTTCTGTTTCTATTCAGTTATGTTCTTCTTGTCGATTATCTCCCATTGAATCGAGACGGCGGTGAGCGCTCCGGAATTCGAAATTTACCGATTCCAATCTCGGAAATCATCTTACACATCTATATGTTAAGTTTCATTATCGATGAAGTCTACCAGGTCAGCCTTTTATATCTTTGGAATGGACATTTTTCTACAATCTTCCTTCTTACATTTTTAGTTCAATCGATCTAGAAAATGGTTCTATAGCTATTTCTTCATTCGTTGGAATTGGATGGACCTAGCAGGCATCATTTGTTATTTAAGTGCGTTCATTACCCGATGGTTTATCGTCGAATCGGTTTTTGCGGCGTCAAAGTAAAATATTGCTTCTTGCTTTCTTGCAACTTTTTCAACTGATTAAGATCCAAATGAAATAGAAAATCGTCACTATTAAGATTCAGAAAAATATCAATCGAGATTCATTAAAAAAGATATTCATCTGTCGAATCTAACAAAGAGATAGTTCCAAACCGTAATTATTTTCGGAATGAAACTTCTTTTCTAAGTATGTCTTATGAAGATTCATGAAATAGCTTGAGAAAATTCATGCCTTTATCTTTTCGATTGATCTTTGGTGATAAACATTCATTGCAATATTCTTAGTCGAGTGACAAAGAAGATAATGAAATTTCAATTCACATGAAAAATGGTATATATCATGGGTTTTCGAAAGAATTGTATCAGAAATTGTACTCTTTCGAAAGTTAACAAGCCAAACAGTCTTTGAATACGAAGTTAATGACACTCTGACAGCCACCAACACCATGTTGCATAAATCAATCAGTCAAAATCATTTCATAGTGTTCATTGGCTGTAGTTTAAGTTGTTCTAACCATGTCTGTCCATGTAGATGGTTGTCTTAATCTATTGATTAGAGAATTAACTGGACTATATTGCTATTGATAAAAAAGAATGACCAAAGAGATGAATGTTTTGAATAGGAAACTAAAATTTTGCTTAAGTAGATAAAATTTCAACAGCAGTGAAAGACTTTCAGATGATCGAAATTTAGATTCCTTGTTATATTTTATTTCAACTATTTATAGTGAATTATAGGTATTTATCTTTTACTTTTGTGGCAAAAATATCGTGTATTATTGTTATTTCTTGGACCTCATAGCAATTGTAATACAGCCGATTGTTTTATGACAAAGTCTCATTTTAGTCAAAATATATATTTTGTCACATTCATAACTAGAATGCACTATCATTAATTAAATTACATCCTGATCTTGTAACGACGAGATGTACAAAGAAGATGTAGAATAGTCAATAAATGCTCTGCTGAAACAATCTCTAAGCTTGAGTTTCGACAATAATTCACAATCTTTCAGTTGGCGGTCAAGTGAATTGACATCTGAAAAACACTGTTTGTTTCTGTCTACCATTCAGTATAAATGGTCTTAGTCAACATTGTATGTATTCCTTGAGTCATCATCTTAACGATAACAATAATAGGTGGATTCTCACATTCACATTCACATGGGAGAAGCAGATAATGATTTTTCATTTAGTAAACATCGCTCAAAGTCACTTAAAAGTAGCAAAAATCAAGACAATCCGATATTGCTCGCTGTTTCATCCTAAAACTATATCATTATTCAAGCAGTTGATCTATATCCACCATTTCTACAAAAAGTGAAAATTTGAGATATGATACAATCACTTTAATAGGGGTCAAAGTCATTAGCATAGTCAGGAAAACGGTAGTGTCGAGGCATGATCAATTGACGTCTTCAATCGTATCGACAAAGAAAGTAATGATGAATCAAATCCACTTCGATCTGATTTTCATTTAGAATATTGATGTCCATTGATTTTATTATTTGGTGCCTACGAACACTGTATTTTTGTACTGCATACGAAGTGTTGGGACCAAAACTGATGATGATCTATAAAATGGTGAGCATTTCGTGTATCCGAATAATATTGAATTTTCTCAATGTCTTTCACTACAGATGAAAGATACCTTTTTGATCTTTGTGTGTTTCATACTTGTTTTTCTCATCGCGTTTTCGATTGCTTCCTGGTCCTTATTGTCTACCAGCAATCAAATTACTTGGTTGTATGCAACCAATGGTTCGTTGATCAATGTTACTATAGCGGGCGAAGGCAGAATACTGTGGAATTGGCAATTATTGCGAGATGTATTTAACTGGGGCGTTTGGAAAGTATTCGGACAAATAGCTGAACCATTTAAAAATAATGCTACTGATATGGATGTAGTTAGCGGTACGTACACATTTATTTTCACTACTGCTATTGGTGAACAAAAAATTCATTTCTATTTTCTTTAGAAAATGATGTCTATGGTACATTTGTTTTCTTATATGCAGTTGTCTTTGTAGTGATATCAAATATACTTCTTTTGAATATTCTTATCGCAATGTTGAAGTGAGTATAGAACAAAGAGAGATATTTAGTTTTATGAATAATGTTGATTCGATACTACGTAGTAAGACAATTGGACGTGTACTTACAACATCACGTATAGTTTGGCGGTATCAGCAATACCTCTTGGTTCGTGAATTCAGTGAAAAACCCTGTTTGCCTCCTCCACTAAGCATTATCTACTATCCAGTACGCTTCATAGTCTACCCATTATACTGCAAACTATCCAACACCAGCGTTCCGGGTAAGTCTGGTAAAATTAGACATACTTTTGAAATTTGATGGTCATTCGTCCACTTTAGACGAATCATGTGAGAGCAATGTTGAAAAAGAATGTGCTGAAATGTACTGGAAATCTAAGGTATTCAACAAAGGCATTCAGATATCAACCGACCTAGCTTTACGACGTTTGGAGCTAAAGTAAGTTATGCATTGAGCTAAGCTTTGGTATTCAATAAATTATTTATTCATTTTATTCTTTTCTGTAGAATCAACAAAGGCAACGATCGTCAAGTAGAAACTCAGGTATAATATTTGTTTTGTTTTGCTACTTTATCATGTAATAGCAAGTGTCAACGTGTAGATCACATCTCAGTCGCAATACTTAGAAATAATACAAAACACTGATTATTTGGAAAGAAAAGCATTTTTCTAAAAATATTACGCATGAAAATCATGATTTCTGTATTTTCATCTGAACTTCCAGTGATTTTACTCAAATTTGACCAGAATCTAAAACATAGTAAAGCATTAAGTGATTTACACATAGATTTCTGAAAGTAATAGAATGATTACAGTTTTTCAATGATATAATGAAATACAACAGTTCTTGTGAAATTGAGAGTTGAATTGAACAATTAGACAGTCATAAATCAGACATGGACAAGTGCGATCGAGATCCGGTTCTTGTAAACTCAAGCTTAGAAAAACTTTTGTCCGTTCACAATCTAGTAGTAGATAGCAAAACATCTGTAGTTTGCTTTATATATAGATGTGACGCATGAATAAATAATAGTCCTGAATCATCATTAGGGTCGCATATATTGTGTACTCGGCAATAATTCGTTCTTTTTACTTCAAATTTTCTTTTTCTTTTTTCGTTGAATACATTATTGGCAATGGGATTTGATCATTTGAGTAAGAATACACCAATATCAACTCTTGGAATTGATTGGAATGGGGAACTCAGATTGACTTTGACTTATAAGCGAAGATTCTCATGTGCTATGCGTTGATCCATGTCGTACATTAGCATACATGAAACTCCTCAAAACTGGAAGAAATCTAAAAGAGTTTATGTCTATTAATTACTTTCTCGATTTCTTACGGTTTTACGAGATTTTTCGACCTCTAACAAGTCATTTATGAAGAATTCGAATTGAGTAATGTTGGCCTGAAGAAATATGCATACGCTTATGTAATTGATTGTAACAAAATATAACTCTAACTTTAATTGTTTAGAAATTAATACTATATGCTTAACGTTTTTTTATAGGTTGTTTTCTGTAATTTGTCATTCTCATTAATCATAATAGGAAAATTTTTGTCTTCGTTTTACATAAAACATATTACTATATGTAGGACTAGCTGTAAAAATCATGAATATCGTATTTGTTTGAAAAAGTCCTGTCGATCTTCCGATAGGTTCAAATAGTCTAAATACACAGTTTTGTACCGTAAAAGCGTATGCATAAACATTTAAAGAGTCTTCAAAATGGTTTCATTCGATGCAGAAAAATTTTCTCTACTTGTACCAATAAGAACCGGTCGGAATTATGCTTTTATTCGATTGTCAACCATGGAATACTGTCTTAATTGTGATCCTTCTTCAACAAATCGGTCGATATCAAATTGAGAAAAAAAACCATGAATTTTTTGAGTCAAATGGAATTTTGTTGAAACCGTTTTATTCGATGAGCTCGTTCTACTGAAGCAGCATGCAACACAAATTTGTTGACAATTAAAATTAGGATTATATAAACCTCTCCATATCCTTTCAGATCAATATAACATAACTCGATTTTTGATAAATGGCCTACTAGTGATCGAAAAATTCCGTAAAACAATGAGAAATTGAGGAAGCAATTTATAGCGACATACCTTTTTACGCTCATTTTAGTTTCGAGGAGTTTTACATGTGGCAAAGTACGACATGAAGTAATCCATAGCATATGAGAATCTTCGCTTATAAGGCGAAGCCAATAGCGGTTTCGATTCTAATCAATTCCACGCAGAAATACGATGTGGGATTAGTTGAATCGAACTTGGCACATCCATACTTCTGAGTGTTATTAGAACAACTTGTCAACGAGAAATCAGCGACAGATTTATAGAAAAAGAGAATTTTTGTTGTTATTAATGTTTGATTACATTCCTTGTCTCAATTAAAGACCACATATTTTGAAACAATTGGCATCTAGGTATTATCGATTTTGTTGAACAAACATACGAAGATGCATTCATGAGAAGTATATCACAATGTAGAATTTTTTAAATAGGTTCCAAACATTAGATTGTTTCTGAGTCATGGATAGTTGACAGAAATACTGTATGGTCAACCTGAAAGTTTATGCTTGCGTCTAAAACTTCAAGAATCAGCTCTTTTTTCATAGGAACATCAGCGAATGCATGAAATCTCTCACATTCCGAATGGATATTTTTTAGTAAACTTTGTTTAAAAAAGTTCTCACTATGGGATAGATAGTTGAATGAGTAGCTAAGAGTAGTATAAAACGCTAGAAAAAGATGCCACGCACTGAGAGTTTTTCGACACTTGAATCATATCTCAGAAGCATGTAGATATCGCGTATCTACATGTGAGCTCTTGGGTTGTATTAAATACTGTAGGGGTGCACCAGTGCCAGTAACTGGGTCCCAGTCGGACTGGGTACCCAGTCGGACTGGACACCCAGTCGGGCTGGACACCCAGTCGGACCGGGTACCCAGTCGGACTGGGTATCCAGTCGGACTGGACACCCAGTCGGACCGGGTACCCAGTCGAACTGGACACCCAGTCCGACTGGGTACTTAGTCATTTGATGTTTATTCCGCAAATCGAACAGTGCCTTCCTCTTTTCTAATATACTGGAATGCATTGACTCTCAGGCTGATAAAATAATGATATAAGCAATAATATTGAATTGACTGACTATTCTTATATTTCTATGTGCCAATCGTTATAACGTAAAATATTATTAATATATTTCAGCAGTATTAGTAATTAAGTTTTACGGCGAGGTTTTTGCAGTGCCTTTCCCACTCCATTACAGACCATTGCAACCAGATATCCATCATTATAGACACTTTCCATTACAGACTTTCCTACTTACATTACATGAATATTATTTACAACGACATTATTTGTGATTGTATTCAGTTCTTATAATAATGAAAGTTTTAAATTTAAAAGATTAGGACAATGAAAAGTCACGAATAAGTAACAATAATAAAGGTACAAAACAAGACACCTGTTTCAAAGAAAAAGAATTCTTCTTAAGATGAAGAAAAAGAAGGATCTTTCCTGACAATCGAGAATCGGGAAGAAAAAAGATCGCCCTACAGAGTTTTTACACTCTATGTTTTGTATTGATGTGATGAAATCAAACAAGATATGTGAGTTCCACATTTGAGCCCCAAATGAGGCTGTCCTGACAAGCTCTTTTTGGTTTGAAATGTATTTACCTCCAATGTATACAAGATATTCTAAACATTCTTCTAGGAACTATTAGCAAAATAAAAATATAGTTTGAAATTCAAAATACGAAACCGAATCATTCATGACTACAATTTCTGATTTAGTACTATTTTGATCGATTACAAGCTTTCACTTAATACATGAGTCAATCGTATTCGTTTTGATGCTTCTTAAAATGAATCCGGCTTTTTCTATTTTTTATTTCAGTATCGATCTTACAGGAAACATTTTTCTAAAACAAGCCGTTATAGAAATCCATTATCTAGAAGAGTTATCTATAGCAAAGAAAATAGTTCAACAGATGATAATAAACGAAAACTATGCCTCAATAGATAGCTCATAAAAGTTTAACGAAGACATATAAAATTTATTTATAGTAAATCCCCCTCCCCCTACAATAAAAGACCCAGGGTCTTCTATTATGTTTAAGCGGAAAAATTTTTTAGGGAGGTCTTGTATTATGACTCTCGGATTTTTGCGAAACTCACGAGTATTTTCGAAGAATTTAGTAAATGCAAGTTTAAGTTCAAGATTTACGGCTCCTCAGTTCCTATCATAGTGACCAGATGCTGGGAAAAACATCACGATATCTTCCCACAGCAACAAACAATAGGGAGTAATTAATATCAGTGACTACATTATTTTTAAATTCTGTAATTTCTAGTTTCTGTTCTAAATATTATGTTTTTAAGCTTCGTATAGCCCACATATATTTCCGAAGAAACTAATAGTGACCGTAAGTTTGAGTCAAGGTTTTTCAGCTTGTTCCCTCTTCCTCATTACATGTCGTAACAATCACTTGTATTTAAAAGGTTGTGGAAATTTCTAGAACCTTTTGCTTTTCAATGCTTCGAATATGTTTATGAGTATTCGCAAAAAGCTAGCCTCCTTTTTTTGCGCAGATAAAAGTTTATACGATTCATGTGAAAGGTTATCTTTTGTGATTTTTCATAACGGTAGTATAAGTTACATAAAAGCGTGATCAAACTACTTTCTAACTTTTAGAAACATTTATTTTGTGTCTTACTCAGTACAATAGTATGCATACAAGATTGTTAGGATCTGACGAAGATGTAATCAATGTCTATACTAAGCTTATTTAGCCATTAAATTAAACCTTGCATCGAATAATATGAAATAATGATAATCTCGATTAACAGAAGAATAATACAGCGAATAGCAACAAGAAAAAAAGCACGCATTAGAAAAAAAATGTTTGAAATGTACGAATAGAAACTGCTATAAATTAATCATTTTGATCAATGTTTCTTTAGAAACTTAACATTCTGCGTCGGTTGTATTAATATTATAAATATATTCAGGAAATCTGATAAATGGAGCGAAGGAAGAGGTAGTAAATCGAAATGAAATAGTTTCGTTGGGATAAAGTTTTAGAGCGTATGCTTTAACTCAAACAATAGAATTAGTTGTAATCTATCCATTTATTTGATATCTTTTGAAAATAAACTTTTCCACCCGTTTTTGAGAATATAATATAAATCTGTAGCAGCCTGAGTCTCATGAGTACTACACTTCGGCTCCATAGCGGTTACACTGATAGATTTTGTAACTAAAAAGGTACTCTGAGAGAACCGAAGCGATTTTGAAAATTGGAGAAAGGATTTTCACGACTTTCGAATCTTAAATGTACATTTGAACTCATCAATTTGAAAATTTTCAACTGAAAATCCCAAGAATAGACACGTTTCGGGATAAAAAACTAATGAAAATTTTCAGTTCTCAAAAAAAAAATCTTAAATAAATGGGGAAGGGGTTTTTTATTATGCGGAACACAATTTTTTTCCCAAAGGGGTCTTCTATTATGAGGAGATCTTGTAATATTGTGGAG